AGTCAGCACAGTTCTTGCACGCTGGCTCAGAGCTGCTCAGAGTACTGCACTGAGTGCCACATCAGCTAATAACGTAGTTTAAATTTTGATAGAGGCTTTTTAAGTTGAACATAATACGTTTTTTTGGACAGGAAGACCTACCCAAATCACCTCTCGTGTGGTAATTATCCAGCCAGCCAGCCAAGAACTTTGCAGGTACGTTTGGTAAGGACTGGCACACTCTGAGGAGACAGCTGGACTATAGCCCCATCGAGACAAAAATCTAAGCAACTGCAGAGAGCACCTCAGCATTGCCACACCACTGGCCTCATCCACACGCGAAGGGAGCAGCTCCGTCCTCAGATTCTCTCCTTTTTCCTGGGGTCTGAACGGGTGAAAGAACGAGCGTGCTGCAAACAGGGAAAGCAAGGGAGGAGAAAAGCCTAGCGCTGTCTCCACAAGCTACGCTCCGTCCTGAAGCACACACACAGCCCCAGTGCCTTTGGTGGTAACTCCACTCACTCAGCAGCAAATTACAGTGGCTTTACTTTAAATTTCAGTTTACTACCAATAAAAATAGATAGATTTAGCCATCAATCTCCAGCTAATTACACACAGAGTTTCCCAGCCCAGCTCTCACCCCAGCCTGGCACTGGCAATTGTGTCCAAGATTCGACCATTTCCCTCTGCGTTTCAACTGTCAGAAGAGGAGCCTGCTGCGAGAGCAGCGTTTGCACAATAACTGGGAATTGCGCCAGGACACCCAACCTGTTAATTTGGACAGGTTTCCAAGGAGCCTCTTCATGAAAATATCCATGATGTCAACTGACCCAGCAGGATTTGAAGTAAGGCCTAGAAGCAAAGGCTTCCTCTCAACCAAGAGCCGCATCTTTATTAAGCGCATCACACATACCTGTGCATCCTCCTGCTCCTTACAGGGACTTGACCACCCTTCTATCCAAATACCAACCAATACTTAAAGCAGGTTACAGGAGTAACTTGCAACTTCTTGTCTCTTCTCCATTTTCCAGCCTTGTAAGCACAGTTCAGCATGCAGAGGCACAGCTTGGTATCAGGCTCCAGGACTGGCCCAACTTGGTGTCCAGAGAGGTCACGCAGACTCCAGACAGGAGAGCGACAAGTGCCTCCGAGGAGGGTTTGTAACCCCCAGCCAGAGACGTGCCTAACCGATGGTGGCCTCACACGGGCTGCAGGGCAGAAGGGAAGACCAGACAAGTAATAGCCTCCTTTGTGCCAGGGTACAATTTGCTGAATGAAAATACTAATCCACACATTTGAAATCCTATGGGGCACTCAAGGTTTCCAAGCCCATGAATGGCCTTGTTCAGCTCCAGAACCAGGCACAAGTGTCACCTCAAGACAGAGCGGGCAGCCACCGGCCCAGAGGGCCTCTCCTGCCACCCAGAGTAGAAACTAGGCAGACACAAGCCACATCAGGTTGAGTTTTTTTTGAAAGGAGCTGACTGAATGAGAGGGGAGATGGTGCAGAGTAGGCAGGGGAACGCACGCATGCTCATACTGACAGCCAGGCTAAAAGGTCCCTGCAGCATCGGGGCTCTTGAAGCAGATACCGTCCCGCACCTTCGCCCAGGTTACACCACACCCAGCTGAAACAGCCTTCTAAGTCAAACACAAACACCCAGAAAACATAGTCGGAAATATCTAACTGTTCAGTGGCATCACCTAAATCAGGTAATCAGTGCTCTAGTTTGACACTGCTGAATCAAAGATATTAATACATTTACCAATGTTTTACTAAATAAAAGCTAAGAGTCAGTATCAGTGAACAGCTGAAAATCAACTTCTATTTTTCTGTGCTGTTATCATGCCTCCTACCATGGAATATGAGTTCATTTAACAAAGCATTAATCAATGAAAATATATTTCAGGCAGGAAAAAAAAAGTAATTAGCAAAGTTGTCAACATTTTATCCATACGTACATAAAGGAAACAATTATTGACATTGAAAAGAAAGTTTATGGTTTACCAATATGGCTATTTATATTGCTGACTTTACTGTAAGATGGTAATATTTTATAGCCGGTTTCTCAAGGTGAATGATGATTAAAAATTTGCCCCAGCCAATTTCTTCAAGAACCCTAAACTGTACTGAGTTACTACTTGAACAAAATGCTGTATTATATTTACTTAGAAGTGAGAACTGACTGCTAACAGCATGGATATATCCTTGGAATTTTGTAAAAGTTCCATGAAATTCATAAACCACCAGTGTGCAACACAGTTTGCACTATTTTCACAAAATCTCAATTACAATTTTATGAGTCTAAGGACTATCAACCTTAGGATTATTTTAATAATTTGAAATACTCAGTAGTTAATACACTTTTTTTCTTTTCCTAAGCAGAAATCACAAAATAAAAGGCAAAAAACAGAAAAAAACCCAACAAAAAACGCAAAAAAAACCCTGAAGTAATAGAGACACAAGAATCAAGGTATCTAGAAATTCAGAAGGCCATCTTAAGAAAATGTGAAAGCAACAGTTCCAAGGAAAGAGAAATAACATTAGCCTTACTGGACTCTCAACCCTCACTGTGAAGTGGTCTCCTGAGAAATATCCACCTCTTAACCTAGAGAAAGAAGACACATAATGAATGCCATTTACCAAACTGCTGAGTAGAATTTAAGATTTTGTGGCCTTCAGCAGTGTCCACTCAATTAACAAATGAGAAGATAAATGAAGATGACTTTTCAGCCTGTTTTCTTATGGCAAGAAACTGCCATGTAGAAATGAAAAGGTCTGTTCCCTGAAAAAGGTGTCTATAGCCTGACGTTCCCAAAAACACTGAATGCATACAGCGAGAACGATCATCACGTGACAATACCCACTGCAAACTCCACAGCTCCTGAGTGGCTCTGCAGACAGGATCACTGTTCCCATTAAAAGTTCTGATGTTTGAACAGAGCTTCTTCTCCAGAAGAGTTGGCAGGTACTGCTTCCAAGAAAATCCTGAAAACAGTACACTTGAGTGCTGGTCGACTGCCACAGAGAACATGTAAGAAATAGAAACTAGCTATGGGATCATGCTCAGCCTGGCACTAATTAAAGTGATCTGGAAGAACTATAGTTCTTGTAGTGAACCCAACAATTGTTTTGGCCTGCTACTGAGGACAAGGTAAGGCGATCCACATCTCTATTCCCAGCTCCTTCTTCCTGGTCTAGGTGCCTCACCTGAAAAACAGTGAGGTCTATCAAAAGTCACTGTGAAGCAGAACTGCTACCAGCCAATGCTGGTAAATAAACTGGTCTTCCAGAGCTCCTTACTGTCTCTCCTTTTTTTCTAGGGGGTCGTCCTGAGAAAAAAAGTGGAAAAACTGAGCATTCATTTAGGGCATGCACCTCTCCAAGCAGAATATCTAGCATGTCTACTAGTGATCAACTGCTGCAATGACAAAATTCCTGGTCCCTACCATTCTATGTCTCCTGGAGTTAAGCTCCAAAGCATTTTATTTTAGTAACACACCAGAGGTATGGAATAACAGAAAAAAAGTAATATACTTTAATGCAGGATCAACATACATTGTATCATACCGTACTAAGAGACAACACAGGCAAGGCTGTCACAAAAATACAGGCACTACTAGTACTTTATTTTAGATTACAGGAAATTCTAAAGTTTGAAAGCAGATGTGGAACAGCCACACACACAACCCTTACATTCAGGTACCATAGCCTGAAGGTTATGAGAGGTACAAGAGCAATGAAAACAAATCAAACTATTGTGAACAGTATCCAAGTGCATGGGCCCATCTGTACCAGAAGTATAATTACCAGAAGACGTCAGGTTTGTATTAAGTTTTATTTTCACATATGTACAACTTAAGAAACGAATCTCAATTTGAAAAAGTTCAGAAGTTATCTTTCAACAACACAATGTAGACATACCTTTGAGGCAGCAAATATTACTCCTATTAAGGCCCTTATGAAAGGATGGATATCATGCAAATGCAATTAAAGAGTACATTACATTTCAAAATATGCAAACCAAGTTCAACTTTATCTCTTTCAGAAAAAGAACGTATCAAACACTGTAACTGTGACTCACCAAAGCATTTACATACATGCTTGAAGCTAAGTACACGGACTAGGTAAACTTAAGTAAAATGTAACAACTGTCAAGCTACCTTAACCAGACCACAACTACTACAGTCAGTGATCAATCCCTTCCAACATCACAAGTGCCAATGCCTGCACCAACGATGTCATTTTACATTCACATAAACCGCTGCTGACTGCAAAATTCCATACGCTTTTTCAACCTGTAAGGCCCACATTTTTTACCTTTGGCATTAATTTTTGATCACTGAAAGCACTTAATCCCTCCACTGAACCTGGGGAAGAGGCATGCGCAGAGAGCGCCTGTATCACAGCAGTGCACAGCAGGAACTGCGGGCACTGCAGGAGCTGCATAACGGAAGTTACTTCCATCAGGCCTTTAGAAAGATTCTGATTAACTTCCGTACACTGTACCCCTTGCTTATGATCACAAAGAGTGAAAGCTGCATTTTTGTTTTTTTTAAACCATAACCAGCATTAGCACTAAATCAAACAAGCAATGCTAATCTACAAGAAAAAATTCTTACTTAATAGTTTAGTATAGTAATGCTACTTGTGCAAACAGTATCTAAAGATGGTCTAATATTACCAGCAGGGAGAAAGCTTCATTCCTTCTCTATGTCATTGTAATACATTGAAATTAAATATAATGAAGATGGTCAGCTGTGTGACTTTTGTTATCATCACTAACATAACTCAAAAATAAAAGGCCTAATGATTTGAAAGCGATGAATATGTGAAAAGAAGAACACAACAACTGTTGTGACCTCTCCCGGGATGTTATGTGCACTGCCCGACGTGTGCAAGGTGCTAGATGACTTTTTCGAGAGCGATGAATGTGTGAAAAGAAGAACACAACAACTGTTGTGACCTCTCCCGGGATGTTATGTGCACTGCCCGATGTGTGCAAGGTGCTAGATTACTTTTTCTTCAAGCCTAATGCTAACACAATCAAATTTTAGTTGTCTACTCAAAAAGAAACAACAAATTATCCTCAAAATTTTATATCATGTAATTTTTTTGGCAACTACCAAATTGCCTGAAGGCCCATACTTTTCAGAAGTTTTGTATCACATTACATTCAGTGCTTACAAATTTCTTACAAACAGTATTCCTCACCTAAGAAAATAGTAGTTAAAAGTATAAAGATTCCTTTATTTCAGTCCATCTAATTTTGAGTCACAGCAGCACATCATTTAGATACTGCTAGGCACATACTGTGTGTGTATCTGCAACTAGAAGAATGAAAAAGGAAAAGAAAGATCCATTTTACTTTAATCCTGACCAGCAGCTGTTAGCAATTTTCTTTAGTTATCACTGTGGGACGTGATGGATGGGAAGACTCAATATGCTGAGGAACTAGTATATAGTGTACAAGTGCTCTCAAGGACTGTTGTTCAACAGCACATTCAGCGTAACTAGGAACTACAGACTGTAAGAGATAACAGATAGTTCCTGGGAGCATCTATTATTCTTCAGAGAAGCTGTCTGATCAAGAGGATAATATCTGGAAGAACAATTGCATGATCTCTTGCTATATAGCTAGTATATCATGTCATTGAGGGAGGAGAAAAGTGAACATTAACTCAAGCGGTAACTCAAACCAAGAAATATGCATAAAAGAACAAGTTGAGATATTACCATTTTAAGACTTTCCATACACTTTGCAACACAGAGAAACTGGATACACAAAAACATGCAAGTCAAACAAAGCTAATCTACAATAAACAAAACCAGAATACACTTATTTCAAAGACTTAAAACATTAAAATATTCACCTGATGCTAAATAGAAGCAATGGAATAAGGTCTAGACCTAGCCATGTGATTCAATAAAAATTCAATTGGCTCTTCCAGCCTTTATTTCCCTCCTCTCTTTACTTGTTTTTATAATTTCAGGCCATAAACTTACTGAGTGACATGGGAGTCGAAAAGCAAATGTAAACAAGGCATCTTCCTCTCTCTATGAAAAGCAATGCTCCAGGGATTTGTGATTATGTATGTATGTAGCTGCACAGCCTTTTTCCAGCCCATAATTACACGGGATGTCCTTCTCCCAGGGATAAAACAGGATGTCAGCTACTCCAATACCAAAAATACTATTTGAAAAAGACATCCTTCTTTTCTTGAGCAGACCTTTCCCATCTGGGTTGCATACTCATTTAAAAGCATGCATTGACACCCATCACTAACCTTCTGTCTGAAAGTTGTGCCCCATCATTATTAGACGTAGCTCTCAACTCATCAGATGAATCTCAACAGATGAATCCCCTTTTTTACAAGTCTTACAAATAAAAGCCCAGTAAAATAATTAATAACTTGGTCCCCAAACAAAAGCTCCATTCCGAAATATGAAATCAAATTATTAATCTTTCAAAATGCTCAACCAAGTCACCACACCCATTTTGCCCCAAACCTTAAAACACAGACTATCAAGAAAGGCTGGAAATTACTCATCAAGCTTAGAGATTAATCCCAGAAAACTTCAAAGACATTCCAATGTATTTTAAATGACATAGAAGAATATGGGCAGAACTCTGTCCTAAGACTCAAGAACTTTTTATAAAGTCCTGAATTTTACCAATACAGAAGAAGGTAGCCAATGCAAAGCATGAAATATAAAGAGCTTAAATAGTTTTTTTCATCTCAAAACACCTTAAACCACAGAAGAAAGCAAACTGCACTAGAAGAAATTTACAAGTAGTCTTCAAGGGAAGTACCATGTAAAGCACACTGCATTAATCTAGACTTGACATTATGAGGGCATGTCTCACTGTAGCAAGGTCCATACTAAACACCAGATCAGAGACAGAAGATTAAAGTAAAACATTAGATGTCACAGTCACTGTTCTACTGATCCAGGAAAGGCAGAGACTCCAAGGTGAGCAGAAACTATGAACCTGCTTAATAAAGGCCATTCCTGCAAAGTCAAAAAAAATCATACATCCAACACTTTCATCCCTTCATTAAAATAGAAATACTATAAAGGAGCACTCCATAACATATCCCCATTGCTTCTGACTGACATATTGAATCAAAGGCAAAAGCAGAAAGTTAGCAGAGATAATTAGAGCAACAAAGATCTTTTAGCACAAGGCAGCACAGCTGAGCAGCCTACCAACCAGAAGATGAATTATTTTGTTTGTTACTTAAAAAAGCAGCTGTTAGTCGACTACTTCAGTTTATTAGGCATAGGAAGTTCATCTAGAGGTCACTCTGAAAAACACCTCATCCTTTGTTTAAGCATGTATGAAGCCCAGCAGAAACCAGTGATAAAGAAGAAAAAAATCCATATAAGTATTTGCTGGCTTATGCTTCCAAACATTTCAGAGCAAAATGTCATTTTAATGCTGTTGTGGTTTGACAGCAAACAAGGATGTCAGTCTAATTAGATTTTTTTTGTTCTGTCATGCTCCTGATCCTATCTAAGTACTCCTCTGAAAAAAATTCTGATCGATGATGAAGGCACAATTATACAAACCTTAACATTCACTCTAAATGTAGCTATGCAAAAAAGGAGAGAGGGTAGGGAAAACAAAGGTGAAGTATATTTCTCTTCAAATAATTAAAAAAAATAAATTTTTTTTTTCCCCCCCCCGCCATATAAATTTAAAATATGAAACAACAATAATACAGCTATAGAATCTAGGTTTTCTTTCAAAGCAGCAGCATATAAAACATATAAAAGCTAAAACCTCAGCACAAGCTTCAAAAAAACAAGGACTGAGTGAATTTGGCCAAAGACATGAAACTCACAAAATACAGTACACAAAAATACTGGAATGCATAAGATATAAAGCTACACATTTTAGATAAGGAAAGACATTGTAAAGTATACAAAATTTGCAAAATTAAACCATGGGATTTGGAAGACAGTACCATGAATACAAAGAAGTTGGCAATTAATACTTGTAGATGGAGGGAAGAAAGTGGCAGTTTTACATTTAGCATTGTTTTCAGGTTCACGACTTCACTTTCTTAGCATCTTTTTTTCCAGAGTTCTCAGTAGCCAAATCTGCTTTTCTCTTCTGTGACTAAAAAGGGGAAAAAAAAAAAATTTTATAAATTCAACAAAATGGTGGCATTATTAAAAAAAAAAAAAAAAAAATTGAAGTACATGACTAACTATTCAAAAAGATGATAAGGGGCCCTAATGTATTATATATTTCAATTCAGCTTTCTAGGATATAATGGAAGGGCAAACAAAAATCCCAGATTTAGACACTTAATTCTGCTACCCTTTTTATCTTCTTGAAATCATTACATGGTCTCAATGGTACAGGTACCACACATACCATGAATTGGATGAAAAGATCAGGACCTTGACTTATACACAATTCTGTTCTAAAGATGACAACTCTTCAAAATAAAAGAAGCACTTCTTATCATTTCTTCTTCCAGGAACTACTATGTAGGGGAGGAATAACAATCTAAGATTAAATTAAAGCAAACGTATGATGTAAATATGTAGGCAGAAAGAGGGCAGTGCTAAGTTTTCTTAAAAAGTCTTCCTCTGCTACTTAAACAAAAGACTCTTCTAAAAAAAAAAAAAGCCCCAAAATACTATGAATTGGGAATACCTACGTAAAATCTAGGAGAGCTGTGAATAGACAAATATTTCAGTTTAATCTCTCAACTAATGGTTTATACTAAAACAATCAGTGGCTACAATTATCTTTTTCATTTTCTAACAAAATATAATTGAATTCTGCCTCACTAGAAGTAAAGTAAGTGCTGCTAAACATACTGCTGTAACTTTTGCTCCTCTTTTCTTCTTTTCAGCTCTTTCTTTTTCCTCAATTTCCATATTTTCTTTTTCTATTAATGATATGAGAGTATTGCAGCGTCTCTGAAACTCCTAAGGAAACAGAAAACATCAAATTCTCTAAATAAATTATACAAATTCCCTCATTTACATAAATATGTTTAAAATTATTGAATTCCAAAATACTTAAGTTTTCCAAAAACGTTCGATATTCATGTACTAATAAGATTAGCTTAGTTATCGTTCATCTGTCTTTACCTTAGTGTAACCTTCTTTATAAACAGAGAGAGATTTACTGAAATATTCAACTTCCTGACAAGGAGTTTTCAAGGATTGTCTGTATCTTCCAAACTGACACCCCAAAAGACTGATCTTTCATCTTGTTTAGATGAAGCAGATTATAGCCTGCCAGCATACTATGCCAGATTTTAGGAAAAGACGTCTTCAAGTATATCTTTAAAGCAGAGAGAAAAGGAATCAAAGGTATCTTAAGCAATACTTTTCTGTGGCGCACAGACTAGTTTTTTGTGGTAAGACACTGTAGAGCTCCAAACTGGCAAAAATCTATCCAGTCTTAAATCATGAACTCACTGTTGTATTTTTAGTCAAACAGCACCCAAAAGGTAGCAGGCCCTAAATGCTTTTAGCATCAAGATTTCCAAGTCATCTGAAAGTGATCAAGATTAAATGCCATAGGGTCATTTAAACATTAAAAAATATTTCCAATACAACTCTAAAAGTATCTGCATTGCAGTTAATAACAGTTGGCTTGGTTAATAGAACTCATTTGACTGGGACAGCTTCTTGTATCCCATCTCAAAAAAAAGATGTCTTACCAAATACATAATAGCACTCACTTCTAATATAATTATTCAGTATGTTCTATATACATTGAGAACAGTGATTCCATGGGTTTTTCTTTCCAACTCAAAGCAGGAAGCTTTCTTCTGAGGGAAAAAAGCTGGAAAAATATGTCTTATCTCTATTAAATTCAGTGAAGCAATTTTTGAACCACAAGCTATCCTAAAATTACCTAGTAGCATAAATCTTAACCTACAGCTGGTCTATTTGCAATGAAGTGAACAGGTGACCTTTTTGCCCTGGAATTAGTCTCTATTTTCTCAGCATCTGTAGCCTGTACATTGCCTCAGCCATCATGTTACGTGACGGAAAACGATGCAGCCTGCACGCTTTCTTGATCCTGAACATTCTGAAACAGCCAAGTACATGACTCATCTTTGAGACCCTCAAGCTTAACCACATTCCTTAAGTTCTACAGTTTCCACAGATTCCTCTACGAAGGGTGCTCCATGGCCTTGGGTGAAAGCTGTGTAATTCAGAATGGACACAGAGAATCCTGCCACCACAAAAAAAAAAAAAAATTTTTCACAACATTTTTCCTTTACAACCGCCTACTGGAAATGTTCCAGTCTCATGCATGTAGTTTTGCAAACAGAGTACTATAACGAGTCATTTCTACCACATCCATGTAAAAGTAACCCCACGCCCCCCCAGTACAGGTTCAACCATAAATGAGGGCGTGTCCTGGTTTCGGCAGGGATAGAGTTAATTTCCTTCCTAGTAGCTGGTACAGTGCTGTGTTTTGGATTTAGGATGAGAACAAAGTTGATAGCGCACCGATGTTTTAGTTGTTGCTAGGTAATGCTTACACTAGCCAAGGACTTTT